GGCGTCCTATTGGCAAGGTCAGATGTTTAGCCTGTCACCATGGCAACACGATGGGGAAATGGCATGGGGTCGTCCTAGACTTTTTTGATCTAGACCATGTCATAAATATGTGTACTAAATTTTATATGTCTATGACAAAGTAAATTTTGGCACTACTGTGCAATTTCCCTAGGGGGCCCTATTGCGCCCAGCTGAGATTTTCTTATATAAATCTGTTCAGGGTCAGGGTGTGAACCCGCGAATAAAATTTGAATGAAATCGGCCAAAGTTTGTGCCAGAATTTGTAGATTTTACCAATGGAGAGTTTATGTCATCGCTATGGCAACGCCATAAAAAATATGACATGGGTGTTACTGACTTTTGGATCAGGATGCCAAAACCTATTTGGGAACAAATGATTTTCTCACATATTAAATTTTGTTTCAATCTATAGGGGGCGCTAATGTGCCAAATTAATAATTTTCACATTAAGTAGCTTCAGGGCAGAGAGTTTAACAACTGTTTCAAATTTCACTGAAATCGGAGTTCGTTTGAGCAAATGGGAGAGATGCCATCCATCCATCCATCTTCGTCCGCTTATCCGGGGCCGGGTCGCGGGGGGAGCAGCCTAAGCAGGGACTCCCAGACTTCCTTCACCCCAGACACGTCCTCCAGCTCCTCCGGGGGGACCCCGAGGCGTTCCCAGGCCAGCCGAGAGACATAGTCCCTCCAGCGTGTCCTGGGTCTTCCCCGGGGCCTCCTCCCGGCGGGACATGCCCGGAACACCTCCCGAGGGAGGCGCCCAGGAGGCATCCGGAACAGATGCCCGAGCCACCTCAACTGGCTCCTCTCAACGTGGAGGAGCAGCGGCTCTACTCCGAGCTCCTCCCGTGTGACTGAGCTCCTCACCCTATCTCTAAGGGAGCGCCCAGCCACCCTGCGGAGGAAACTCATTTCGAGCGCTTGTATCTGCGATCTCGTCCTTTCGGTCACTACCCAGAGCTCATGACCATAGGTGAGAGTAGGAACGAAGACTGACCGGTAAATCGAGAGCTTCGCCTTTCGACTCAGCTCCCTCTTCACCATAACGGTCCGATACAGCGACCGCATCACTGCCGAAGCTGCACCGATCCGCCTGTCAATCTCACGTTCCGTCCTTCCCTCACTCGTGAACAAGACCCCGAGATACTTGAACTCCTCCCCTTGAGGCAAAGACTCCCCACCCACCCGGAGAGGGCAAGCCACCTTTTTCCGATCGAGAACCATGGCCTCGGACTTGGAAGAGCTGATCTTCATCCCAGGCGCTTCACACTCGGCTAATTAATTACAGATCATAATTAATTAATCTCTCAATTTTTTTTTATCGCATGACAGCACTAGTTTATTTACTAGCTAGTAATGATGAGTCAGTCGCGAAAAAAACGGCTCTTAGAGCCGGCTCTTTGAAGAGAACGACGGGAGCCTGATCCTTATTGGGAGCCGTGTTTTCTCTTTCTCTCACTTTTTTTTCTCTTCACGCCATGTGCAGACTCGTGGTTTAACAGCAGCTGAAAACGAAACTTTCAGAAATGTGCGTGTACATAGGATAAAAAAACAAGCATATTTGGCTGTAGTTCAGCATTAAATAAATAAACTAGGACTAATTTTGGGCCTGAGATAGAGACCGAGTCCCGACACTCAGTCCTGGTTCAGTCTTGGTTTAAGGGCCGTTCACACCAAAGCGTCAAAAAACGCCTTGACGCCTCTATTTGGAAGCCTTTGCATTTGAGTTTAGATGCCCCCGAGGCGCGTCTTTGACGCCGTGGACGAACGGGAGAAAAATACTTGACGCGCGTCCGTTGCCCTAAAAACAAGAGTTCGGTCCCGCTCTTTTCCCGAAACAATGTCAGACCAGACTGTGAGAGACTGTAGTGTTTTTATGACATAAAACAGGGGTGTCAAATTCATTTTGGTCCGGGGGCCATATCTAACCAACTTTGATCCGAAAGGGGCCGGATCAGAAAACTCATGTCATATAAACCCCAAAAATAACAATAAGTTCAAATATTTGTGCAGAGAAACGCAAATCTATTACAGAAATCTTTTTTAATTGATGAACTCTTTCTTTTACCAGATATTATAATATTATGAACAACCTGAAACTTGAAACCTGAAAAATTTAATTTCAACACAATGTTTTAACATTAACTTGTATGCAAATAGGAATAAGTCAATTTTTCTTGTAAAATCCTGCACTCGGCTCCACTTTTCTCATTTTTGACATTTTTCTGATGAGGGTGTCACGGTCAACAGTCAAAACGATCGACCTTTAAGAGCGTTTGGAAAGAGACAAGTCTTCATTTGTGCTGCTCTGGTGGGAGGGGCCACGCACTGTGGCTCTCGCTCTGGTTCTCGGGTTTTTCTTCCTGATAATAACGTCGCTGCGTCACTGGAAACTAGTCCCTGATTGGTTGACGCGGTGCATCTGACGCTAAAAGTTCAGCATTTTCAACTTCTTGACGCCAACGCCTTAGACACGCGTCTAGAGGGTCAACGCGAAAACGCTCAATACGCACCGCGTCGAAGCCAGATTCGCGCCGCGCTAACGCCGAAGACGCACTGCAAAAACGCAGGACGCTCTAGTCACGTGTCCACATAGACTTTACACAGAAACTGGACGCTTTGACGCTTTAGTGTGAATGGCCCTTTAGTCCTGGTCTAGATCTGTTTTAGTTCTGGTTTAGTCCTTTTTCAGTCCTGGTTTAGACCTGGTTCAGTCCTGCTTTAGATGTGCTTTAGTCCTGCAATCTGAAGAGCCGCTTGGGAGCCGAAAGAGCCAGCTGCTTTTAGTGAGTCGAGCCAAAAGAGCCAATTCTCTAAAAAGAACTGGAATCCCCCATCACTAGTGTCTAGAATGTGATACAAAAATGCCATTAGGCCAACCTACTGTCTGTAAATATGATGTAAAGAGGCAGAATAACAATAAATGTTGCCTAAATAAACCAATTTAAAATCCACCAGTTTTTTAAACAATTCAAGATTTACAGTGAATTTTTACATCACTCAATATATCAGCGATTATATAGGCTATCGGCAGCTCCAACTCCCATTATATCAGTTTCATATCGGCCATAGCAAAATCCATATCGGTCGGGCTCTACTGAGAAGTGCAGGAAACTATTATTTAGTGGCTGCAAAACATTAATTTCCCTCGGTTTCATTTAGGGCTGTGCCAAAAAAATAAAAAATAAAAAAAATCAATAAATCAAAATCTAAATTTAGGCCAATCTCAATGATAAGGCAAGCACATTTTGCAATAGGTCTACAGGTAATTGTGCAGCAATAAGAATTTTAAATCTCATTTAGTGCATAGATTCAAGTGTTTCTCTGTTGATAGCGTTAGCACATGTGCAAGTGTTTCTGAAGCTAACAATCACATTGCATGCTTGTAGGCTTAATGTATTTCAGACTTCATCATTTCAGAAATTCAAACCCATATAGAAACTCGTGACACAGAGTGAAGATTTCACATCATTATTTCTTGACATTTTGATGTATATGGCTTACAGATAATGAAAACCCAAAATTCAGTATCAAAAAATAATAGTTGTAGTTGTAGTCACACAGTCCTGGCATGCACCTCCAAATCCCATACCGGCAGTGGTTGCAGCTAAGATTTCAATGCAGTGAACAAACTTTATCAGAGTTTCAGAGATTATGGATTAGTATTGCGCACTGAGATGAACACATTATCAAAGATAGAGCCTTTTTTCCCATATTTATAAAGCTCCAGACTGACGTTAAAAGTATATTTCTGCAGCTAAATAGGCTCACAGCTAAAAGGGCTAGCTAACGTTAATCAAACTGGATATTAATTAAGCTATGAATGTATTTTTTCTTTATCTGGTTTAATCTGAAAGATTAAGCCATAGTCTCAGAATGATTAAAAATTATTATCAATTAGCGTCAAATTGTCTATTAATGAGGCAGAGAGAGAAAGTAGACTGAAGAGAAACCATCCCAAATGCTTTTTGCTCATCACTTAATATGTTTAACATTAACTGACTGCTTAGAAATGTGGACTGTAGAAAATAAAACCACAAATTTAAGTTAAATCAATGATTTTTGTGTGTTGTGATTTAGCATGCTATTTAGCGACGCCATCTGCACATTAAACTGTCATTACAGTAAACTTTATATGTACAGGGCTTTACAATAAAGTATTTTTCAAAAACATCTCCATTGGCCTTTTTTGATGATATAAGAAGGTGTAATGTATACCAGATGTCCAGATGTGGCAGAATTAAGGAGAAGTCTATGCAATCCACTGCCTTTAAAATAACACCTTTGCCAGGTAAGGGTTACTCATGTTTCATTTGATTAGTTTTAAGATAAATCATTGTCTACGATTTCCTTTAATGATTAAAAAAAAATAATAATAATTAAAAAAACCCTCCAAAAGTGGATACCATTCATTACCACTGATCCAACACTGCATCCTTGTCAGATTTGCATTGTATTAGCTCTATTAGCTCAAAAAAAACTGCAAAGGTTTTTTTGAGGTTTCATCTTCAAAAACACACCTGAAGTGGTTTTAGATGTCATCCATACATGTTTGAGTAATTTAGCGACCTCTCCTGCACTCTGTTCGAACTCTCCTTATGATTAGCTGTAAGATTTGTCCAATGTACCACCAGGCCTACATGATCCATGCTCTCTCTCACACAACAACTCTCCATAAATATACAAACATATGATACAAAACAATACACTACATTATAGCTTTACAAACCTGTGCAGTAGTTTCATTAGTGGTTTAATGCTTATGTGCACCTTATTATACACATGTAAAGTTATATAAACATCTGTTGCAAAGTGTAAATGATTTTGGGAAATCTTCAATTGCTCTTATCTACAAAGTCACCACATTTTTGCATGTACTTGAAATGTATTTTGTGATTTGAATGTGCTACATAAATGTAAAGCGTGGTTATATATAGATTAGCCTTTTTTATTATTAGAAATTGTAATTCTACACTCACGGCATTTCCTGGTTGTCCCCTGTCCTCTTCCACAGCTCTGGAGTCGGTGGCATCAGTCTTTCGTTCCTCAAAGGTGGGTTCCTCCTCCTCACTGTAGTCTCCTTTGGCATAGCTGTGGACATGCAGCACATCCGTAGGACTCAGTGTCCTCTGAAACACTTTGGCATGTGAACTGGTCACCGCTGGCTGCTCATACAAACTCTCTAACCGCTCAGAGCAGGCAGACATTAGATCGCTATCACAGGGCTCTCGGACAGTCCGGTCAGGACCCTCAGCGCGACTCTTCTCTTTTTTCAGTGGATTGCGTCTATTTGAGGATTTCTTTGGACCGACTTTAGCTGGAAACTTTGGTGGTGGTTTAGGGTCTTTTTCCATCTTTGTTTCACTTCTCTCTTGAACTGTGCCTGAAAAGTATTACATTTTCCCAAGTAAGTCTCTCAACAGAAAGACAAACACGTTTTTGACTGTTAAAGAGCACCAGCACCAGGTATTCCCAGCTATCTCACATTCAAGCACTAACCAGGCCCAATGCAAATGGGTACAGGATTTGGTGCAGTTTAAGAGATTAAGTGCAGCAACCATAAACAAAAAATGATCTGTTAATATAATCTTTCCTTCTGACTGATTATGCACTCTTGCAATAAATCACTGTCGAATGTAACAGACTGGCATGCTAACCAACATGTAAAATGTCTTATAGACTAATATGTAAAAAAAAAAAAAAAAAAAAAAAAGTGCAATGGCATTACATACAGTAATTGTGTAGTAGCTATAACTGGGCAAACCTTTCTCTTTTTTGGGAGATGCTTTTCGAGACAACTTTGTCTTGTGTGTCTTCCTGGTGTCCTCCATGTCCATGGCATGAGAGATATTTTTAACCACTTCCTGCTTTATAGCAACGTGCGTTTTTGCATTTCTGGGCATAACAACAACAACAACAATATATATATATAAATATATATGAATTGCTGTACATTTACTAGATTTTCTGAAGCATTGTATTAAAACGTACCCATTGTCAGCTATGGCCAAGGGGGAGGATGCTGCTGGTTCATTGGGAATTCTTTTCTTCTTGATGTCCTTGTGTAATAGTGCAGACTCTGGTGTGGGTCTAGAGTGGTCAATAGGAGTGGTGTCCTTGCCAGCTTTCCATAGCTTATAACGCTCAGGCTGGTATTTGCGAACAAACACATCCATGGAGATCTTCACCATATCTTGGCGACATGCACACTAGAAAAAGTCACAAGGAACCAAAGGATTATTGTAGTTTATGTTTAAGGATAACAGACCACTCTTGATATATAGCACCCATTTCCCTACAGATGCTGTGATTCTAAAGCACACTGTAATAAAGACAATGTGTAAATATAGCCGCAAGCGGCAATGATTGGCCCTCACTCGTGCTTATGCCGCGCCCCGCAAATGCCGTGCCCCGCAAACGCCGTGCCCCGCAAACGACGTGCCCCGCAAACGCCGTGCCCCGCAAACGACGTGCCCCGCAAACGACGTGCCCCGCAAACGACGTGCCCCGCAAACGACGTGCCCCGCAGAACGACGCATCCCTCATAATGCTGCGCCCTGCACTAACGCTAATAACCCTCACCTTAAATCTAACTCTAGTTCTAACTCTAATCCTAACCATTGACACAGCCCTAACCCTTAACCTAACCCATGAATTTTTCAAAATTTTTGCATGTGTTTATTGAAAATTTTTTAAAATCCAAGATGGTGGACTTCCGGTTTGCAAAGGGGCGTGGTCACAATATACATTTTTTTTCTTGTTCCCATGATGCATCTGCCTACAAAATTTGGTTTGGCTCCTCCAGGGGTGGGCAAACTACGGCCCGGGGGCCGTATGCGGCCCTTTAAACCATTTAATCCGGCCCACTGAATTTGAATAAATTATAATAATAAACCTTAATGTTTTATTTTTTCTGCATTTCCAGCGTTTCCCAGTAGATGGCGCACTACATATACATTGAGGTGCATTATGTTGGCCGCAATGCTTTATGGGAAAGTGTTCTTTCGGATTTGTTAGTGAAAGGAGTCATTCTCGGTCGGTGTATTTGGACCATGAGTGAGGTAGAGGTATTCAAGATATAACACTGCACTGTTTATACTTAGAATAAGGTGAAAGTAAAGTTGAAAAATGCGCAAATTGTTATTAAGTAGTTTTTACGCATAGAGCGTCATAACATACAACAGAGTGGAAGGTGTTATAGAGGAAAAATTTATTTGGGTCTAGGCTCATACTGGAGTGTTGCAATTACACGTTTTGTTCAGTGGAAATTCAAGTTTAGGGAAGTAGGCTAGAGAAGATATAGTGATGGCCACAACTAGATGGTGCTCGGAAAGTATTTAAGAAGTATTTGTCTTTTGGGCGCATTCGCACTCAACTTTACATTCTTGTAACCAGGTTAATGCGTATACATGCACCATGACTCAAAAAAAACGATCGTAACCGAGATACTGATGTGCATGTTTACGCACTCATTATAAACAATGCACCAGATCAAATATAAGACGTTGCTCACAGACTGGCACGCTGGCACTGTTCCGTCCTTGCGTTGGTCGTTGTTGAGTTTTGGCTCTGGGGACGCACATTGAATGGTAGATCTGCATCATCTGCTCCTGTCCGGACCTTCCCTCAAATTTTAGAACCCTTTGTGGCCCCCGAGCCAAAAGGTTTGCCCACCCCTGGGCTACGCCAAAGTTTGTGTAAGGAGGTCCCATTGGCAAGGATACAATTTTGGCTTGTTGCCATGGCAACACAATGTTAATGGGGTTTGAGTTTTTTAATCGAGACCATGTCATAAATGTGGATACCACATTTTGTGTATCTATGACAAATAAAATGTTACTGTTCTATTTAAATTATCTAGGGGGTGCTATTGCACTCATTTCAGGGTGTGAACCCACGATTAAAATTTGAGTGAAATTTGAAGTTTGTGCAAATTATCAGGCGCTGAAGTTTGATGGTGAGCCCCAAAAACGAACACGAATTTTGCACTGTTGCCACAGCAACACCGTTTAACCTTTTATAAAGCTTTTAACAAATTTTAATGTCCCACTTGTCTAGATGATACAGAATGACTTTGGTGAGTCTGGGTCAAACGCCCTAGGACGAGTTCATTTAAGTACGAAGACAGGAAATTGCACCTTCGGTGCCACGTCGCACGATCAATCCAATATGGCCGACTTCCTGTTGGTTGCCTAGCAACGGAGTGATATACTTTTTTGTTCCTATTCCCATGATGCATCTGTGTACCAAATTTGGTTTGGCTACGGTAAAGTTTTTGTTGGGCATCCTATTCGCGAGGGCAGATGTTTGGCCTGTCACCATGGCAACACGATGGGAAATGGCATGGGGTCGTCATTGACGTTTTTGATCGACACCATGTCTTGAATATGTGTACCAAATTTTATAAGTCTACGACAAAGTAAATTTTTGCACTACCATGCAATTTCCCTAGGGGGCACTATTGCGCCCATTTGATATTTTCAAATACAGATCTGTTCAGGGTCGAGGTGTCAACCAACGATTAAAATTTGAGTGAAATCGACCAAAATTTGTATTTGTAGATTTTACCAATGGAGAGTTTATGCCATTTATGCCAAATTTCATGATTGTAAGTGCAAATTTTTTTTGCCCTCATTCGTATTCCCTAATGCATTTTTGCATTGCATTGCTACGTCATGGTGAGGGTCCCTGGTCACTACGGGCGAGTCACGTCGCGCCATTCCATTTTTTGGCCCCTCAGAGCATCGCTTTGCGATACTAATAGGCCCTTCACCAGCCTCTGGCGCTTGGGCCTAACCAGCAATCAAAAGCAGTGGCAGAGTTAACAATTTGGGGGCTCTAGGTGAACTTGAGTTTGGGGCCCTCACTATAATGCATGGTTTTGTTGTTTGGGTTTTTTTTTTTTTTTTTTTTTGTATTTTCAAATATTTATTGTCCGTTTTCCCCCAATTGTTATTGAGAAATGCACATCTTTATTTGAATTAAGGTGAACTGGAAACTTGTCTTATTAGTTTAGGTTGCTTACTAGATAACCAGAGCTTAAAGTAATTATATTTTTTTCCTAGTACAATTAAATTTTTGTTTACATCCATTATATATGATTATCTTATGAAATCAGGATCAAGCTGACTAGTCCATACTAACACGAAAGGGGGGATGCTTTGACAGTTAAAACAGATTTGACAATCAGATACTATTTTGATGGAGTTTTTTGTTTAAAAGTAAAGTACTCTCATTTAATGTCATACTGAAAGAAAAGAGGCCTCGTCCATTAGTGGGGGGGTCCCTCCAGGTTCAGGGAACCTAAGCAGCCGCTTACTTTTGCCTAATGGTAGCGGCTCTGCTCAAAAGCTAAACAATTTAGGGGTAAAAAAAATTAACAAACTTTAAGTTACAAGGCAACAAACTTTTTAACACAAAATTATAAGGTTCAACATTTGAGGATATTTCATTTGGTTGTTTCTCACAAAAACAGTGAGTTGGATATAATGTGGTTCCTCATTTGTCCAGTGCGTTTTTTTGATTGACTGATTCGTTTTTATTTCGAGTTTGTGCTAAGAGAGAAACAATAATCATATATACTACATATAGATTGTAAACAACAGAAAAGCACATTTCTCGAAAAGGAGTGGGAATAAGAAAATCTTATATTAACCCACCCCTGTTCATGACATAGTTTCAAAAATGATTTGGTTGCTTCTGTACATTGATCACAGAACTTTACAAATAAATTATAAAATTTAGCAAAATTATAATAAATTTAGCAAAATAAATTACATATTATGCATACAAAATATAATTTTAACCCCAAAACCTTTTTTTGTCGTATTGTACTGTACATATATATGCACATATACATGCATACATACATACATATACTAATAAAAAGACAAAAAATATATATAATATATAATATTATATATATACATATACAGTCCCTGATAAAAGTCTTGTCGCTTATCCATTTTGTAGAAACAAAAGCTTATAACCTGACTTTAAATTAATCGATTGGTTTTAGAAATGTCTCATATGAAAGCTAAAACCCTCCCAAATTATGCTCAATATATTAAAATAAATTTGCTTCACTGAAGAAAGATTGATCATTTAATGAACACAGAAAGATCAGATTTTGGCAAGACAAAAGTCTTGTGGCCTTGTCATATGATGCACCCAATCCTAGATTACAGCCTCACCTGTGATCAGTTACTGATCAATCAATTAGTGGGTGTGTATAAAAAGAACCCCAGCACACCAGACCTTCACATCAACTGCAACTTCACCTCTGACAACATGCCTACGATCCACCCTGAGACCAAAGTGTTAATTATCAAGAGGCTGAAGACCAGATCCACTGCTGAGGTGGTGACACCTTCAATGTGTCTCAGCGTCAAGTACAAAGAATAAGAAAAAGATCTGAAATGACTGGAGATGTTTTTGACAAGCCCAGGTCCGGCAGACCCCGCAAGACAACTGCTCGGGAGGACCGTTTGTTGATTTGAAAATCCAAGGCCAGCCCCTTTTCCACTGCAGCAGACTCCACCAGACCTGGTCCCCTCAAGTCCCTGTGTCAACCAGAACAGTTTGTACAATTCTGTCTCGAAATGGCCTCCATGGTCGAATCAGTGCACAGAAACCAGCACTAAACAAAAGGCAATTAAAAAACCGTGTGGCATTTGCCAAGGCCCACAGCCTGCTAATAGGATGGACACTGGAAAAGTGGCAGAAGGTGGATTTCTCAGATGAATCCTCGGTTGAATTACATCACAGCCGCCGCAAATATTGCAGGAGACCTACTGGAGCCCGCATGGATCCAAGATTCACCCAGAAAACAGTTAAGTTTGGTGACGGAAAAATCATGGTCTGGGGTTACATCCAGTATGGGGGTGTGCGAGACATTTGCAGAGTGGAAGGCAATATCAATATCCTAAAATATCAAGAAGTATTAGCTTCCTCTTACATTCCCAACCATAAAAGTGGTCAAATTTTGCAGCAGGATGGTGCTCCATCGCATACTTCTATCTCTACAACAAAGTTTCTCAAGGTGAAGAAGATCAAGGTGCTCCAGGACTGGCCAGCCCAGTCACCAGACATGAACATCATTGAACATGTCTGGGGTAGAATGAAAGAGGGCATGGAAGGCAAAACCAAAGAATCTTGAGGAACTCTGGGAGGCATGTAAGACGCTTTCTTTGCTATTCCTGATGA